AAATAGTATATAGCTACCAAACGAGACAGAAGCGCGAAATTTGCATCCCCAATAGTATTTAGCTACCACAGGGGACAGTAGCATGATCCTTGTTTCCCCAATAGTATATATCTATCACAGGGGACAGTAGCATGATCACTGCCTCCCCTATATAGTATATAGCTATCACAGGGTACCATATCATTCTCCTTGCCCCCTATATAGTATATACCTATCATAGGGGACCGTATTAATATCCTTGCCTCTCCTATACAGTATATAGTTATCACAGGGGACCGTTTCACTATCCGTGCCTTTCTATATCGTTTATAGCTATCAAGGGGGACCGTATCATTATCCTTGCCTCCCATGTATAGTGTATAGCTATCACAGGGGACCGTATCACTCTCCTTGCCTCCCCTATATAGTATATAGCTATCAAAGGGTACCATATCATTCTCCTTGCCCCCTATACAGTATAAAGCTATCACAGGGGACCGTATTACTCTCATTGCCTCCCCTATATAGGATATAACTATCACAGGAGACCGTTTCACTATCCTTGCCTTTTTATATGGTTTATAGCTATCAAAGGGGACCGTATAATTCTCCTTGCCTCCCCTATATAGTATATAGCTATCGGAAGGGGGCGTATCACTCTCATTGCCTCCCCCATATAGGATATAACTATCACAGGGGACCGTTTCACTATCCTTGCCTTTTTATATCGTTTATAGCTATCAAAGGGGACCGTATCATTTTCCCTGCATCCCCTATATAGTATATACATTGTAGATATCACAGGGGACCGTATCACTACCGTTGCCTCCCCTATACAGTGTAGCTATCACAGACGACCGTATCACTATCGTTGCCCCCGCCCACTATATAGTTTAAAGTTATCACAGGGAACCGTATCACTATATATCCTTGCCTCTCCTATATAGTTTATAATTATCACAGGGAACCGTATCACTATCCTTACCTCTCCTATAGAGTTTATAGCTATCACAGGGGACAGTATCATTATCCTTGCCTCCCCAATACAGTTTATAGCTATCACACTGTGACAGGGGACCGTATCTATATAGTATATAGCTATCACATGGGACCGTATCACTCTCCTTGCCTCTCGTATATAGTATATAGCTTTCAAAGGGGACCGTATCACTCTCCTTGCCTCCCCTATATAGTATATACAGTGTAGCTATCAAAGGGACCGCATCACTATCCTTGCAACCCCTATATAGTATATAGTTATCACAGGGGACCGTATCACTCTCCTTGCCACCCTAATACAGTATATACAATGTAGCTATCACAGGGGACCGTATCACTATCCTTGCCTCCCTAATACAGTATATACAGTGTAGCTATCACAGGGGACCGTATCACTATCCTTGCCTCCCCAATACAGTATATGCAATGTAGCTATCACAGGGGACCGTATCACTATCCTTGCCTCCCCAATACAGTATATGCAATGTAGCTATCACAGGGGACCGTATCACTATCCTTGCCTCCCCAATACAGTATATGCAATGTAGCTATCACAGGGGACTGTAGCACGAGCACGGCGACAGAACACCGACTTCCGTCAGTGAGATGAAATCCACATGGGTGGAACCCGTCAACCAACCAACCAACCAACCTGTAGCACGATCACGAGAATCACGATCATAATACTTGTGCATAATTTGAGTATCACAATTTAAGACCCTGATGATTTACTTCAGAACAAATTTAAAGGTATGTTCAAATCTTAATTAGAAGGATAGAATAAGAAGAATTGGTGTACTAATATCGTTGGTAAAATACTGGAGAATACAAAACTGACATCTTAGGCAATTCTGTCGTAGTGGAATATTTGATTCAACAAAGTGAAGGAAATTTTCAACAAATGCGTATGGAACAATTTAAAGAGTTGGAGAGGAAAATATATAATTGTTTATGGAAAAATGGGCCAGATCGTGGTAAACGAAGTGTACAGGTGATCATGCCCAATGGAGGTTTATTGATACGTGACGTCGAATCGCACGTAGACGTTTTGAATTGTCATCGATTCAATGATTTTTATCCTCAGTAGACGCCGACAGGAGAGATTTCCGAAACTGTTTTAAGGCTTAACCGGTGGGTTGTCTGGGCTGCAAAGGAATTCTTCCATAAACCATAAAACACAATATTGAAATCCTGGCTAAAATTAAGAGAAGAAAATCGGTACAGGATGTTATGCGGATACCGGTATACGAGAAGGAGAAATTGTTTTCTGTTTTCCCTGCACTTAGTGTGAATTTCAGTAAAATACTTTAAATCCATTTTTTACGGAAATGTTAACCTCGAAAAGGCAAAAAGGCGTCCAAAAGTGTGTCCGTGATCTCCGCCTGTGACGAAGGTTAGTACCCTTGATATATGTAATATATTATATCCCTTCAAATAATTCACCTGCATTTTATTGAGCAACAATATGCTCCAAACCAGAGGCTAGTCGCCATAACAGAGAGAACGTTTGAGAAAACAAAATCTAGTACCACTCAAATACAACTGAGCGAAGGGAGATAACCCTTGCACTGTGTCCACCTGAATGTCTCATAGTCAGGTGAAGATCAGAGACGTATATATTACATACATATTAAATATGTACGTCTCTGCTTTGATTAATTTACTTTATGTAAAACATCAGCACTCTTTACAGTATATCACTACACTGTACCGTGATGAGGTTTTCGTTGTCGTTTACACAGAAGCTAGACTCTAATATTAAATTCTCTTAATCACCTTATTGTGAAACCATACAAATATTCCTTTGATAAGGAATGATATTTACATTACTGAAAAAAAGTATAGGAAAAATCCAATAAGTCTATAGCTAGATGTGTTTTGGACACGAGCTTACACTTTTTGTCGGTTGTCTAGTCGAGAGGTCAGTTCGAATTCGTGGCTGTCAATGTGGGTGTCACCAATCTCTGGACGATGACCAACGGCTATGTGATGTGTCCATTGACATTTTTTGTAAGGGTCACGCCCCCGGCAACATAGCTGCAAATTGCAATACTTCATCAAGATTGACATATACCACATTAGCTGTCTGTCCGTAATGGCTTGTTACTTAATTGAGCACACTTGACCACTTAGTAATACATGATGTATCAATCTGGGCCGATCATCAACAGTAACAAAAAAGTACTATCAAAAATCAGTACACGGAGCACTGTTGGTTTCAGAAAACTTATATAAAAATTTGTATTGAAGTATTCGGGATGCGATTTGTTTGATTATTTTTAGACAAGTTCTGTTGGCGCTTTTGGGATAATCTCTGTTTTAAGTGTTGTGAGCTTTGTTGGGTTATTACAAAGAGCCCTGGTGATATATTTGTTGATATGAACTTGAGATGAGCTATGCTTACGTATTTGGAAACAAGTATTTATAATTTACGCTCTTATTAAATATGGCCCAATGAGCTCTGTTGGATTATTTGAGATGGCCTCTGCTTCTGTTTATATGCAATCATTACTAAAAAAAAACACCGTCGCTATTTCCGTCGCACAAGGATATAGACTATTTCTCATTAAGATCCTGATGACGACCACAAACCTTGTCCAGTCTTCAGAACTCTGCGTCTCTCGAAATACTGTTTTGTAAGTTTGCTTGTTTACATTACAAATCATGATATTCGGAGCTAGCCCGTCAACATTGAATCAAAGGTGACTTGTTCTACTCCGAAAGTTGAGCAAGCAGGATTATTAATATTAATTAAAAAAAAATCTTGACCGCAGAATCATAACTACCACACCTATCGTACAGCTTAGTAAGTCGGCCATGTTGGTCAAGTTGTAGGTAAAGATCAAGGAAGCTGACTGACGGAGAACGTTCTGTCCTCGATTTTAAGATCATGATTGTAAAGACTACACACCAATGACATATCTGAACATAAATTGGAGGACTTGGCAAGATTTCGTTACCTGTCTTTATTTCTGCCTCGTATGAACACAGAGCCGAGTCAGCCAAGAGAGGGACACGGTTTATCCCCGTGAGTTTGTCAACAGACTGCAGAAAAAACCACTGAAGTTATTAAAACTATTATCAACTACATATTTAGACATTCTTTTCTATAAATATTTGATATCTGCCTTTTTGAGCCTTTCTCTAATATGTTTCAAAATATTTTACAAACTCTGTTTGCCTTTCTTGGAACAGAAATTTCTCATAATAAGGGACCAAAGGCGTTCCTTCTGTTTGGTTCGAGATATGATAGTGCTCACAGTGGGAAAGTGAAATGTTCTGATAGCAGAAATAGTTTTAAGGAAGGAATATTCCAGATTAACCAAAAGACTTATATGAGCTCTTAAAATTCACGGTTAGTTTATACAATTTAAGGAGAGACAGTGTCACGATACGATTGTTACTCCGGTTAAATGGAACTTAAAATTGCTTGCAACATGAATTTCATTACAAACGAGGCAAGTGTCCGTCTCCTTATCAATAACTGACATTCCGAGAGGATATAATACAGAAATGTGCTTAGTATTATTTCGGTACAGTAGAAAATGTATGAGAAAGGTTTAGCACATTTTATTTTATTTATTTGCTTATTTATTTTGTTGTAGTTTGTTTATTTAGATCGGAAAATGTATGAGTAAGGTAAAAACCATGAAGTTTATTTTTTAACTTTATCTTATTTATCTATAATATTGGTTAACTTGATGGCTGATCTCTTTTAAACAGGTAGTATTTTAATGTTATATCATTAACGTTGGTTATTTTCAATCAGTACACAATACAAACATAAAATGTGTGATTTTAATAAACAAAATTTATTTCAGAAATGCAAATATATGTATTTAACTAATGCCAACTGGTATGCCATATCCGATTCCAACTGAGGCAGGTCTGTGTATGAATATACGTTGTATTTACCAGTAGGGTCGATAGAATGTAAATTGTATACATTATAAGTGAGCGATGACTGATTTGTTACTCCGTGTATTGATTCTGTCTGGTAGAAATAAAAACAACAGACACACAAACATCTCACTTTGATTTATTGACGGCTTCTCTCAGGTCATTAGGTACAATAGAGGTGCGACACGTGCGTGGACAGAAACGGCGGGAAAATGTACAAAATGGCGGCTATAAAAAACACGAAATATATACAATATATTATAATTACAAGGAGATTATGTACAGAATGTCTTAATTACGTCACTCTCTAGGTTTGTACAAATCAAGTCACTACATCCAATATAAACACAACGACAGCATGATATAGACAATGGGAATATATATACACAGTGTATGGTGCTCCTATTGTATTCTTGGTTGCTATCCGTCGCTACTGTTGGTGTGGTTCAGATACAAACTTTCTGTTGTATATATGTCGTCCACGTTCATGGTAACCATGCCAATAACAATAAGACCAGGGAAGATATTTGTATTCGAGTTGTATCAACACATTATTGCTACTTTGAGATTTTGAACTTCATATGTGTAAACGTTGTTGTGTATACCATTTTGTTATAGCCACTACCCACTATTTATATAGGTATGTTTATGTTTACTCTTAAATATGCCTTTAAGTTATGATCGTTGTATAGTAAACATACATTATACATTTTCTCCAGATTTTTAGGTGTAAGGAAAAGTGATATTACCATATAGCAAACGTTCACAAGGCATGACAATATCTCGGCAAGCTACACAGTTAAATTAGCAACAGCAACAGAACATATTGAAACGTTTTCTACATATATTTGTACTCTACAACTAAGTCATTCTGTTGCTAGTTAACACAGTACAAAAGTCCATCAAACGACTTTTGATTAAAAACGACAAATGGGTTTTTTCTCGTGGTTAAAATGATTTCATGAGAAACTTACAATACAAATGTGTAATGATAAATTATAAATAGATATACAGGGAACTTATAAGCAGGGAGAAAGGATTTCACTTGTCTTCTCGCTCACTCTAGTGTGTGTAAAACGTCAATTGTGGTATAAATCTTATTGTATCCCGATATGGCTTTAGATGATCCCTGAAAAGGCAGGAATGTACCACAGAACCCAAGACTATCTACGTTTACATACACGCCACATGCCAAAGGAGAATCGTGAATACTTAGGTAAATTCTTATCATTCTAAAACCTGTTAATATATTTAACGTAAATATCATCCTGTAAAATATTGATTTTAATTAGTTTTATATTAATTATTCACGGAGCTCTGAAATATTTCCTCGTCTCCAGCCTGTGGCGAATTAGACACGCCATTCCCATTCATTTCCGTAGCACCCTCGCTGAAATTAGCTTCCATTTTGCCATTGTTTTGGTCTGTTCCGGATAAGATGTTGGCCTGGTTTGGATTTGTTTCTACCATTTCCTGTTCCTGTTGCAGCTGAACCAGTGGGTTATCTATCCCTGTGGTGGCTCCTGACCCATTCTCCAATCCGCCTTTTTCCATCATTGTGATGTTGGCAGATTTGTGTCTGAAAAGATACGAACCAGCCTTTGATTTAGGAAATGTGCTCCATTTGTTTTAAAGATGGGTTCACTATGATGTTTTTAGTTATAATTAATGTTTTGCTTTTCCTGTTGTCACCATGTGTTATAAAATACGAAGAGTAACATTTAAGAGGCAATCCCATTGCATTTTGCTCGCCGAAATCCCATCTATGTGTGTTGTAATATATATATGTGTGATTAGGTTATCAGGATATAGAATGAACTTACTGTCGAAGTATGAACCAGGGTTACGAGTGTAGAGACGGTACATCGTTAACAATCGCGTTATCTTGTAAAGGTACATGTTAACAATCGCGTTATCTTGTAAAGGTACATGTTAACAATCGCGTTATCTTGTATAGGTACATGTTAATTATCGCGTTATCTTGTATAGGTACATGTTAACAATCGCGTTATCTTGTATAGGTACATGTTAACAATCGCGTTATCTTGTATAGGTACATGTTAACAACCGCGTTATCTTGTATAGGTACATCGTTAACAACCGCGTTATCTTGTATAGGTACATGTTAACAATCGTGTTATCTTGAATAGGTACATGTTAACAATCGTGTGATCTTGTATAGGTACATGTTAACAATCGCGTTATCTTGTAAAGGTACATGTTAACAATCGCGTTATCTTGTAAAGGTACATGTTAACAATCGCGTTATCTTGTATAGGTACCTGTTAACAATCGCGTTATCTTGTATAGGTACATGTTAATTATCGCGTTATCTTGTATAGGTACATGTTAACAACCGCGTTATCTTGTATAGGTACATCGTTAACAACAGCGTTATCTTGTATAGGTACATGTTAACAATCGCGTTATCTTGTAAAGGTACATGTTAACAATCGCGTTATCTTGTAAAGGAACATGTTAACAATCGTGTTATCTTGTATACGTACATGTTAACAATCGTGTTATCTTGTATAGGTACATCGTTAACAATTGTGTTATCTTGTATAGGTACATGTTAACAATCGTGTTATCTTGTATAGGTACATGTTAACAATCGTGCTATCTTGTATAGGTACATGTTAAACACGTCCTGACTATATGTTAGCGACAACTACTAACAAGCATTTTAAAGATGCATTAATGCAAACTTTATACGTTCTTTGATACTTGAAAAATAACGCTGTCTTTCTTTATGAATTACAAGAACAAACCCCCCATCATAAGTACAAGTATGTTTCGTGATGACATTGAGGTAGGTTGTGTACCTTAATTTGCAATATATAATCTTCTTATCAACACAATCTCGGACTTTGTTAGCCTCTTTTGACCATGTATAAGAAGGTGACCACATAGCAACTAGATATCGTCCACGGGTAAATGTTCCTACTTATACATTATATCTGAGTCGTAACATTACTGCCCTGTCTAATATGTTACCCTATCCTAACGAATATCGCTTGGTTCTGGTATCTTTACATAGAGAAACAGAACCAGATGATATCATAGGGAACACAACAGCGATGTGAGTAACCCGGTCACTTACTTGATATCACATTACATATATAAGTGTAGCGTTAGCGATATTCAGCCGAGTGTTATAAACGACTTGGAAATGTATTGAGCACACTTACCTTGCTTTACAGAATACCCGTATGTATTGAGCACACTTACCTTGATTTACAGAATGCCCGTATGATTGCGATGATGGCGACAATGACGATGATACCGATGATAGCACCAACGACGATCACTGAAACACAGATATATATCTTCAATAAGATTCAACAGTTTGGATTCATCATATATGTTTACTATTAGATAACCCCCTAACCACCGGCAATGTAACTGTCGGCTATGACGACGCTGTAGCCGACACGAGAACTAGTGTAACATGCAGGTTTTGATTAACAGCATCACATCAGTCGCAAGGAAAGAGACCGAAGCCGAATAGGTACATGTATGTATAAACTTGTATATCAAATAAGTATCGATATATATAAATGTGTGTAAATGGGTATCCATATATCTGTGTAAATCGATATCTATATATATATAGTACAGTTGTGAAAGAAGGATATGGCAGGTGTAAGTACTGGTTCTTTATCCCTTCTAGGAAAAGAATACTTGCACTATCCCGCTACATGATATTAAAAGATGACCACTGCTTCTAGTGCAATTGTTTTTATCTTTTATTTATTTATCATAATTGATCTGCTCCCCCTATTTTGCAACATTAGACTTTTTCTTACTGATCTAAATGGACTATTCGTTTTCAGTGATGCCTGCCGAGGAACAGAAAAACAATGAAACAGAACACCTAGACCTTTCTTTATTGTATTTACCCCATGTGCCCTAAAAACAAAAGAAAAGATTAAATGAAAATTACGGAACGTTGCGTAAGAAGTTAAGTTCATCCCTTACGAAATTAGTAAGTAGAGGTTGGCTTCTAACATAAATTGGTAATATTTTTGGTCTTAAATGTCGGATGAAAATTACCGAAAAAAATAAAATCAATAGTGCCAGAAACATTTCTGGAAGTTGCTCAAAAAGTGTAAACATGGAATAAAGTATAGGAACCACTTTCTGTGTAGATACAGTATCCGATTACACGAGGTACACGGCCAAGCAATGTCATTACTAACAACAATCCCGTCACCGACTCAACATGCCTAACTAATCTGGCTATCTAAACACTATACACTTGTTTATATACTGCATGCATCACTTTTATAGAATAAAAAGCATATCAATGTATATGTATATGTCCGTCAGACTAAACATGCAGTGGCACGTGCGTGGCGACAACAAACCATTTAGGCGCGTGCTTAATGACACTACTGTCTAAACGGGATGTTTCACAAAATGCAAAAATCTATCATTTGTGTTTCTGTATTCATGTATGAGAAACAAAAAGTAAAACTATGTTGTTTGTGGGTTATATAATCTACATGCTCATTGGGATGTTGTACGCACGCATTTATACACAGTACGCTTGATATTGCTTAGCGATCAATATGAAAGCCTACACGCTAATTTTGTAAGAAGAAAATGTTTCATTTGAATTAAGATTAAAATTGCTATCAGGTTTTATGCTATATCTGTCTTATTGAAAGAAAAATATTCCAAACAATCTGACAACAACGTACAGGAGTAGCGAGTAACGATAACACCGATTGGAATGAACTTCGTTTACAGATTTCCCTGGAACATCAGAACACTGAGAATGACATCACTTTTTGATAGACATAATACCCACAAAAGGGGTTTGGAAAGTGCTAGATGTTTTGACCAGGATAAGAAATACATATTGTCCACGCAGGAATGTTTTGATGTGCCATTAAAGCATGTAATGTTATCATCCATAGCTTAATGAATACCTTTCTACAATAAACACTCAAAAACAATATTTATAACCATTTCTGACAGACCGGATTATGTTAGTTCCCCTTTCCTATGAGAACACTTCCTAAAAATAATAAAAAGTGGGGAACTGGTCAGTAAACGTCTAAACAAATCAGTAGCGCACAAGGATGGAGGTTGAAACTAACTATCGCTCGTGTCAACAGCACCAGGAAAGTGCTAAAACACCTATAGACAAACTTGCTCACAAATAACATTTACATGAAGTTAACATAAAACACAAATGACCACGACATGTAATACATGGAAGAAAGAACGAGTTAATAGACTGATATCCTCCCGTTCTGGCCAAATCTTCAAAGACACCCAGCGCTGTAAGTCAGGTCAAGCTGTCGGTCAGCAGTTGTTAACGTAACGAGAGACAACTTAAATCAACAGGTGTCTAACGAAGAAATATCCCAAACCCAAGGTGAAGGATCACCGAAGAGAGACAACCTAAATCAACAGTTGTCTAACGAAGAAATATCCCAAACCCAATGTGAAGGATCCCTGAGGAGAGACAGCTTAAATCAACAGTTGTCTAACGAAGAAATATCCCAAACCCATGGTGAAGGATCACTGAAGAGAGACAACTTAAATCAACAGGTGTCTCACGAAGAAATATCCCAAACCCAAGGTGAAGGATCACTGAAGACTGACAAATTAAATCAACAGGTGTCTAATGAAGAATTATCCCAAACCCAAGGTGAAGGATCACTGAAGAGAGAGCTTAAATCAACAGGTGTCTAACGAAGAAATATCCCAAACCCAAGGCGAAGGATCCCTGAAGAGAGACCTTTTAAATCAACAGGTGTCTCACGAAGAAATATCCCAAACCCAAGGTGAAGGATCACTGAAGACTGACAACTTAAATCAACAGGTGTCTAATGAAGAAATATCCCAAACCCAAGGTGAAGGATCTCTGAAGAGAGACAGCTTAAATCAATAGGTGTCTAATGAAGAATTATATCAAACCCAAGGTGAAGGATCACTGAAGAGAGAGCTTAAATCAACAGGTGTCTAACGAAGAAATATCCCAAACCCAAGGTGAAGGATCCCTGAAGAGAGACAACTTAAATCAACAGGTGTCTAACGAAGAAATATCCCAAACCCAAGGTGAAGGATCTCTGAAGAGAGACAGCTTAAATTAACAGGTGTCTAACGAAGAAATATCCCAAATCCAAGGTGAAGGATCACTGAAGACTGACAACTTAAATCAACAGGTGTCTCACGAAGAAATATCCCAAACCCAAGGTGAAGGATCACTGAAGACTGACAACTTAAATCAACAGTTGTCTAACGAAGAAATATCCCAAATCGAAGGTGAAGGATCACTGAAGACTGACAACTTAAATCAACAGGGGTCTCACGAAGAAATATCCCAAACCCAAGGTGAAGGATCCCTGAAGATAACATATTTCAGGTTATTTGTCGACAGGGGGACATTGGCTCTATTGAAAACAAGATACATGTTACATGGCGCGGTTATCAATATTTTGACTGAAAACACATGGGATGTATATATGCATGTATATAGTGGACAGACAGCTATGCCTAAAACATAACCACAATTATGTGTCACGGTCCCATTACATATATAATCTGATATTCAACAAACTCCTGAACTTAGGCATTTTCGTTGGAAACAATGCAAGCGTAAGATTGGAAACAGACGAATTTAGCATATATGTATCGGTGTAGATAAGTAACGGTAAGATGCTGTATATGTACTCAGCCCAGTCACACTAACCGCCGTGTTCATCAGTGTCAGGTACTAAAAGCTCCACGAAGGTGACCGCCGGGCATTTTACCGATTCTTATAATTTATTTTACTTGGCATGCTTTGTAACAAGCCAATGGTAACATGTGCGAGAAAGAACATGGTGTATTTGAAGTTACCCTTTAAATTAACTACCACAGAGTTAGACGGGTAAAGTATGATGACGTTTACAGTTACTAGAAAATAGTTTCAATCAAGATATTATTTTGTTCAAACAAATATATGATTTTGTCACATCTTTACTAAAAGTTAATGCTAAGTTCAAAGACAAGCTTGATGATCTTTAACGGTTTGATATCGGGAAAATGTGCGTGGCCAATCAAACTGAATTCATTTTTTTTATTTTATTTTTTTTACACATAAATGACGGAAACCGGTTAGATGTCTTTTTAAGATCACATCTATAAACTAACGAAAACATATAAAGCACAAATATAATATCATAATAGCGGTATTATCTTCATTTAGCCACCTCTCGTATCGTAACATACATGTCACCTTAGAGTTGACGATGTTACATGTCAGAAGAGCAACAATAGGCCAGTGTCAGACGCATTAACAGGATTTGAATGTGGTTTCCTAACAAATGCCATATGATCTACAATCTTCTGTGTGGTAAATGTAATGGCATTGTCAGTGACGTAGGAGAAACAAAAAGATCTCTGTGAAGAAGACTCGGAGAACATGTCGGGGATGTCAGGTATAAAGCAGTGAAGAAGACTCGGAGAACATGTCGGGGATGTCAGGTATAAAGCAGTGAAGAAGACTCGGCGAACATGTCGGGGATGTCAGGTATAAAGCAGCGAAGAAGACTCGGAGAACATGTCGGGGATGTCAGGTATAAAGCAGTGAAGAGGACTCGGATAACGTGTCGGGGATGTCAGGTATAAAGCAGTGAAGAAGACTCGGTGAACATGTCGGGGATGTCAGGTATGAAGCAGTGAAGAGGACTCGGAGAACGTGTCGGGGATGTCAGGTATACAGCAGTGACGAAGACTCGGAGAACATGTCGGGGATGTCAGGTATAAAGCAGTGAAGAAGACTCGGAGAACGTGTCGGGGATGTCAGGTATAAAGCAGTGAAGAAGACTCGGAGAACGTGTCGGGGATGTCAGGTATAATGCAGTGAAGAAGACTCGGAGAACATGTCGGGGATGTCTGGTATAAAGCAGTGAAAAAGACTCGGAGAACATGTCGGGGATGTCAGGTATAAAGCAGTGAAAAAGACTCGGAGAACATGTCGGGGATGTCAGGTTCAAAGCAGTGAAGAGGACTCGGAGAACATGTCGGGGGTGTCAGGGATAAAGCAGTGAAGAAGACTCGGAGAACGTGTCGGGGATGTCAGGTATAAAGCAGTGAAGAGGACTCGGAGAACGTGTCGGGGATGTCAGGTATAAAGCAGTGAAGAGGACTCGGAGAACATGTCGGGGATGTCAGGTTCAAAGCAGTGAAGAGGACTCGGAGAACATGTCGGGGATGTCAGGTATAAAGCAGTGAAGCCACTTCCGTTAGGACGGTCATTTTTGGAGGAGGAAGTAAAGATGGTACTGACAACTCCGCGAAGAGACACGGATAGCTGGTCACAAACTATCTACCCTACTATCTAATGTTAAGATAAACATTTCCAGAGTGGTTCTATGAGTATTGATATGAAACTCTGGATATTTCATTCAACAAAAGAGGTGATAAAACACGTGAAAAATTACCAATTTTCGGAAAAAATATGAAATAACATTTGAAAAAGTTTTAAGGTATTAAAGTTAAGGCATAAAATTTTAAAAAATGCGTGAAATAAATCATCGACACGAAAATCATCGAATATTTTATGGGGAATTTAATTAATGTATGTTAGTTATCCAATTCAGACAGAATATATATTTCTAGTTAGTAGAAAACCACCACCACATGCATATATCAGAACGTCTTAGTTCGGATTTAAGTTTTCATTAGATTGATTTCGAATATAGCAGATGTCTTGTCAAAGAAAACTAAAATTTTACAACGAACAAAGTTTCATTGTTTATAATAATTGCATTAGTGACATGAAATATTAGGAACTGATAAACAAACCATAGGTCTGATATAGGATTCCATGTTATAATAGCGCCGAGGTTCCTTATACGTTATCACCGTCAAAGTTTCAATAATCAGAAAACTTAGAATCGAACTTCAATCAAACCCTTAGACCTTTGAAGATTACTTACAAACATAGCCCAGCACTAAGGAGGGAGGAACAATGATTATGGATAAAGAATAGTATAGGCCGATATTGCTGCTAGTAATATATTGCTGCGAAATTTTCACGCGGCATTAAATTTCGCTTTTAAATGCCAATGTTTTGACCTTCTAGAGAAAACACTTTATGATAGAGAACAAATACTGCATTCAAGGGATCTTTATAATGTGTGATTTAAGAAGCTACATAAATTGATTCGAACCACAGATAATTTCGCATGGATAATTTCATTTATTTACTTAAAATACCTAAAGGATAGGTACCTGTAAGGCTGTTTAAGTGCCTCCTGATTTCTGAATTTCCCTCTGTTTAACTACCAGTATAGTTGTCCATATTGTGTGTTAACAAACGAAGTTCTTTGAATTGTCGTTCTAAGTGGCTTTTAGAGACAAGGATATGAGATAAACGATTGATATGTTGATGCTATTGAAATTCAATTAATCTAATCAAGATTTTTCTTCAAAATAATATGCCTATGGAATAGAAAAATTGTTAGTCCCTTCGCCTTTGAGAAAAATATTCCATACACATAAATAAGTCGAATGGTTTTATTAGTTTTATTCGACATCTGAAAATGTGTAGGACTTGAAATGAAAAAGACAACTGAAAATGTGTATGTCTTGAAATAAAAAAAAAAATGTCAAGTTGAAAATAAACAAAAAACGTAAATGTACCCATAAATTGGTTCATTGTTGTTCCATTGTGACAACGTTGTAAGCGTTGCTTTGCTTCTTGAAGTGCTTCTATCGGTATGTCTGATACAACGTTTTGGTATAGTTTGGCTTGTAGGGTGCTGCTGAAGGCCGAATGTTGTTGTATATGTCTTCTCGCGATAGCGTGGATCTGATGTGGAATGTTGTTGTATATGTCTTCTCGCGATAGCATGGATCTGATGTGGAATGTAATTGTATATGTCTTCTCGCGATAGCGTGGATCTGATGTGGAATGTAGTTGTATATGTCTTCTCGCGATAGCGTGGATCTGATGTTGAATGTAGTTGTAATGTCTTCTCGCGATAGCGTGGATCTGATGTGGAATGTAGTTGTATATGTCTTTTCGCGATAGCGTGGATCGGATGTGGAATGTAGTTGTATATGTCTTCTCGCGATAGCGTGGATCTGATGTGGAATGTAGTTGTAATGTCTTCTCGCGATAGCGTGGATCTGATGTGGAATGTAGTTGACATGATAATGAAGTATTAACCCTAACTTATTATTGACACTCAGTGTAGACATAATATTTGAGTGTATTTCCTCTCAAATTATTAATAAACAATGTACTGAACTTATTGTTGTTTATATCTGCCAAAAATTTAACCACAGCAGTTTACATTGTTATTGACGTATTTTTTGCACAGACGGAAGTCCTGAAATCAAAGAGCCACAAAACAACTTCATAGGCACCGATGTTTATACGAAAAAACGTTCGGATTTAAAATCAGCGAAATTTGATACCGGCGCATTTTTTTTTTCCTTTTTTTTTTTTTTTGCAATTGCATGGTATACATGGGAGGATCAGATTAAAAATGCTTAAAGAACGTGTAATCTCTTAGTCAAACAATGGTCACTTTTATATACTTCTTTTTTCAGATTATAGGTCCGTCAAAAAAAGTGCACATATGATATTGCAATACATTAACATAAAACGAACACAGCTAATTGTAGAGGCTTCAATTAATTGGTCGGTAACGGCGTATTAACAACTGAGTTTGTTTAATTGTGTAATCAGCTTTGTCTCTCCCTACAGATAATCAGTACGTTCTTATGTATCAGTATAGAAGTGCTAATATGAATAATACATGCAGGGTAGGATCACCACAGGAGTGTAAGGCCGGGGCGTTGAGTAGAAGCAGATACCTGGTCAACGTTAATTTAGGTAGGAAATGCTAGCTTTGAAATCAACGCAACATATTTCGAAGGAGGAGTAAGACTTATCATGTTATTTATGTTTTAAGAAAACCTCACCAACTAGCGTATCCTCTGCTCCATTTTTGTCGTCAGGGCTGGTACTGTTCCGTGCTCCAGTAACGTCATCGGTGACTGACGACGTCGTCGTTTCTACGTCAGTCTGTGTTGTGTCTGTGATCCTGGTTTTCGTTCCGTCTGTTTGGGTTGTGATCTCGATGTCACCTCTCGGGGCTGTTTTTATCGATAGTGTTGTTGTAGCCTTTGAGACGACCCTGGTGCGGCTGTTGGTCCAATCGCCCTGTGACTCCATAGGCACCTCGTCGTATAGTGTGTGGTCATACTCAGTGCTTGGGTATGTAGGAAATGCTGTAGTTGTTTCCAAATGCTGTTTAGGAGTTGTCTTTTCAGCTACAGTTGTGATTTTTGTACTTTTGGCTACATGTTGTAGGGTAGACGTTGTTCCTATTACACCTGGTGTGAGTCGTTGTTGTATTGTTGATGGTTCAACAGTTGTTGTTGTTGTTGTTATTGTTGTTGTTGTTGTTGTTTTATCATCTACTCCAGTAGTTTGTTGTCGTTGTTTTGGAGTAGTTGTTGATGTTTCGACAGGTAGAACTGTTGTACTAACGTCTACAACTATAGTGTGTTCCTGAGTTTGTGAAGAGGACGTAGTTCTATCGGGAGTTTCTGTAACTGGTAACTCTGGGAAAACAATGGTATCGTTTGTGACGTTGTTTGCAATATCTATAAGCTGTTTCATGATGTCAGTCGGCGGGACCATGGGGATACCAGTAGTCTCTGTGTGAGTATCAATAATAGCAGTTTGTCGTTGTGGTGTCGTTGATGTTTCGACAGGCGGTACTGTTGTTCTAACGTCTACAACTTTTGTTTGTTCCTGAGTTTGTGAAGAAGACGTAGTTCTATCGTGAGATTCTGTAACTGGTAACTCTGGGAAAACAATGGTATCGTTTGTGACGTTGTTTGCAATATGTAGAAGTTGATTCATGATGTCAGTCGGCGGGACCATGGGGATACCAGGAGTCTCTGTGGGTTTTACTGTCGATGTGGCTGTGGATACATCATCACTCGTGACATTTTCGAGCGGTGTTGTACTTTGAAGTTCAATGTGGATGGGGTTGGAAGTAGCATTGGCTGTCTCTAATATTTTATCCATAATATTTTGAGGCGGTAAAACAGCAGCAGACGTGATATCAGATGTTATTATATCGGGGTCAATTCGTGCAGACGTTGTTGTCTCAACTGCTGTTGTATCACGTACAGGAATTTCTGTTGCGTTATATGGCAATTTATCACTTTCAAAGAGAACTGGATTTACATCGTTTTTGGCAAGCCTCAGAATTTCATCTCGTATATGGTCTGGTGGTACTGGTATGTCTTTGGTGTTAGTATCTGTTGTTACGTTTTGTGATATTGTTGCTGTACCTGGACCAGCCGTTGCAGTGGATGGAGGGAGTGTCGCTGGGGTGATCGTCGGGACGGCCTCAGGGGTTGACGGGAGGGTGGCTGGACCGAGAGGAACAGCCTCTGTTGTACTAGGTCCCCAGTCTCTCTCGACATCACATGTAATGGACAATGTCGACGCTCCTACAAAAACCCAATATCATGTAATCGTCATACCACTTCATGTATTTCACAAATAATCCTATAAAAAGTTACTAAAACTTTTATGTTAATGAGTTGATCGTAAAGGCAGGTGTGTCAATTACCAATAACTCTTCCTGAGTAAACGACATAATCCTTTGTTTGAAAACAGTGTGGGGGGGGGGGGGGGGGAATCGAGGAGCATAATCTGCGTTTCAGGTATAATTGTGATATTTCCTTGTGTTGTCTGTCGTCCCGAATAGACGAGCTGAATTACTTTTAATTTTCGTTTTGTCGTCATTTCGCCCCGAAAAGACGAGAGTAAACAGCTTGCTTAATATCGTTCGGTTGTTTTTTCGCTCCGAGATTATGGCAAGTAGAAGCGAAAAAATCGATGGCTCTTAACTAATAAGCTATCTTTAAACCCAGAGTTTTCGGTGTCAAAATGCCATCTTTTCGTTGTTTTACGCCAAAGAAAAAACGCGAATTAGTCAAACTTAATTTTTGTTATTCCAACATTTCGCCCTGCAAATATAAAAATAATCAGCGTCTTAGATAAACATACCTCCATGGACATTGAATTCGAGACACAGGTCCTGAGGTTGCACACCGCTATAAAATACTTCCGCTGTCGTCCAGATTATCCCGTGCCGGACCTCTGAGGTGTTGTACGACTTATTAATTGGATTACAATCGACTTCAAGGTACTCAACGCCTAGTTCCACCTCCAGCTGTGGGCCACATTGAGACTGAGGCGCCACCAGACTTGTTACATTCACCAGGGCGCCATCTATCGTCAAGTTACAGTTACATGCATTTATACCAGCTTCCGGTGAAAAGTCTACCAGCAACGTCTCGCTTCCGTGTACTGTGCCTTGGGTACATATATCGACTGAAACAAACAAGTTATAGTTTTAGTTAGGTAATTCGTACATGCGATTCTTTTCTAAGTAAAACAAAAAGAAACTTTCGCTGTTGGGATATTGTGTATTATATGTCTTTCTGGCTATTTTACTGAAGTCATTGTCACAGGGAATGTAAGGGAAGGAATATCTACATAAAATTTATCTTATTATGAAACAATTTAAGCAGTCATCACTCAAGGTGATAGTTCTTTTCAAATCGCCAGTTCCTGTTTGATTAATTGTTATTCATGTATAACGTTCTATATAGAAAATATGACATATTGAAAGGCCGCGTTTGTTTCAGTTAGAAAACTAATTTACTAAAAGTTATTAATTTCCCTGTATAGACTGAGAGGAACGTCTCCCTGTATAGACTAAGAGGAATGTATCCCTATATAGACTGAGATGAATTTCTCCCTGTATAGACTGAGAGGTATGTCTCCCTGTATAGACTGAGAGGTATGTATCCCTGTATAGACTGAGAGGTATCTAAGAGGAATGTATCCCTATATAGACTGAGATGAATTTCTCCCTGTATAGACCGAGAGAAACGTCTCCCTGTAAAGACTGAGAGGAACGTCTCCCTATATAGACTGAGAGGAATGTATCTCTGTCTAGACTGAGAGGAATGCCTCCCGGTATAGACCGAGAGAAACGTCTCCCTGTAAAGACTGAGAGGAACGTCTCCCTGTATAGCCTCAGAGGAATGTATCCCTATATAGACTGACAGGAATGTCTCTTTGTATAGACTGAGAGGTATGTCTCCCTGTATAGACTGAGAGGAATGTATCCCTGTATAGACCGAGATGAATTNTATAGAATGAGGGGAATGCCTCCCTGTATAGACTGAGAGGAATGTATCCCTGTATAGACCGAGAGGAATGTCTCCCTGTATAGACTGAGAGGAATGTCTCCCTGTATAGACTGAGAGGAACGTCTCCCTATATAGAATGAGGGGAATGCCTCCCTGTATAGACTGAGAGGAATGTATCCCTGTATAGACCGAGAGGAATGTCTCCCTGTATAGACTGAGAGGAATGTCTCCCTGTATAGACTGAGAGGAA